TCCCATTTTAAAACCCTTTGTCCAGTTTAGATGGGAGAAGTTGATATTATGTGATATTGATCGGGAAGACTACATTTCTAAATCATTTTTAACTGTGTTTTATTCACAGTTATTGATCTTATTTACTCTCCATGTATCTTGATTTAAGAATGGGCTGTGTTTAAGTCATATTTTTGCAATGACTCTGTTACATCCCATTTTAAGAAATGAACTGCATTAGTATTTATCAAAAGAATAAGAAGTTGTGTAAAAGTAGACTTCCTTCCTAAGCTATTGAGTTGAGCATTAATGCACATTTTAGTCTTGTCATTTCAAATCTGAAATGTATACTCATAAGTAGACATAAAGGAGTGCATTTATATAGAAATATTTATTTAATCTGAAAAACAACATGAAAAAAGTCTGTTTTTACAGCAGAGATGAACATGTTTACAGCTTGGTACAAAACAAACAAATAGGTGTGATTAGCTCATGTCTCGATGGACACACACTGTACGGGGGTGAATGTTTTGATGACTCATCAGTTTTGATTTGATGAAGGATAAGAGTTATTCACAATAAGGTGTGTAGCTGACCAGCTTGACAGGCGGTGCGGTGTAACGGTTTGTCAGGAGGTTTAAAACCCGCCTCAGCTCTCAGCCTGTGGTGACATCACTCAGGCCATCCGGGGAGACCTCCCTCACAGCGAGCTGTTGAAGAGAAGCAACTGAAGTCCACCCCAGAAGAACCAACAAATACAGATGTTGTTGAGGCTCAGGTTTCTTCCTCTGTCTCTGCAGCTCTCTGGGCACCTCGATGGACCAGTCACCAATAATCCACACTGTGTCTATAGGAGAAATACAAAGGTGTTCAATTAATGCCTCAGACAACACATGTACAGTTAACTACATGTGACAGCTCAGGGTGTTTTTTTGTTATTAGCACATCTGCAGGAATAATATTGAACAAGGTAGCTGCAACTCATCATAATAGATGCCAGTCTTAAACACTATTTTTCTAATACTTAAAGTTTTTGGTGTGAAGCTGACACTGTCCACAGACTCCATGACTTCACGGTTCAATAGAAAACAAATATCTTATAATAAATACTAAATATTATTTTTCAATTGTCATGTTCACCTCATCGCTGTTGACATCAGTAAATATAAGACACAGACATTCCTCTTTTTGTCAGAACAGTAACATGAACTGTATGCTTTGTAATATTGATTTCTTCTGGATGTCTCATATTTATTTACAGTTTATGGATAAAACTTTGTTAATGTATTTCTCTGCTAACACTGACAAAGTCTAACTGCTCTGACAAATAACTAATAACCATGATTGTATATTTAAAAAGTGTAGTTTTAAGACTTTAATTAAATATTTGGTTGAATATAATTAGTTTTAACTGTTGTAGAAAAGTTAAATGTTAACTTACTGTTTAGTTTTCTCAGGATGAGCAGGAATAGTTGATGATAGCAGCCTAGCTGTTAGCTATGCTGTCAAGTGGACTGCTGACGTCGAGCTGAATGGGCGGAGTTAAGTCCCGCCTTACTGCTGTCGCTAGGTTGATCCGAAGTTAGGTTGAGACTGCAAATCCAATATGGATGCGGCCGTCGATTGGACTCATTTTCTGTCTATGTAACAGACGGGTCAGGGTTCATCCAGTAATATTTACAGTCTATGGTCATAACGTGCCAAACTGTCCATCAATCCGATCACACACTGATGGTGATGCCTTCAGGAACCATTTGGGTTGCTTCAACTGGGGATCGAATCACCAACTTTTCTGACAACCAAACCACTGTACCTCTAAGCCACATCTTCCCCATAACATTGACAGTATTATTTTGTTGAAGAAGTATTAGCTTTAGGTAGTATATTGATTTTATAATATTGGTTCTAAATGAAATACGATGTCTTGAGTTAGTTCTTCTTATAATTATCTCCCATGCTTAAAAAATGTGTCCTTGTCGTCTTGTATATTTCATTCATCTTGCTTTAAAGCATTGTCTTCTTCCGTTTGATGAATAGTTTCATATTATAATTATCAGTGTGTTATTTCAACAAGACAATGTTGTACCTCTGTCAGTATCATTTCCCTCATTCAGCCACCAGAGGCAGCAGAGTACGTCTTTTAAAAATGGCCTTCTATCCTGCTCAGTTCATCCAACCGGACTCAGATAATAAATGAGATAAGAGATGAGATGAGATTCAACTTTATTGTCATTACACATATACAAGTATAGAGTAAAGAAATGAGGTTTGGCATCTCACCAGAAGTGCAAATAAGCATAAAGTGCAAGAGTCTGTGTATGTACAGTAATTATAAAATTTACAGATGTAGACTAAAAAAGTGAATTATTAGGTATATCTGGATGGCTGGATTAATGGGATGCTATAAATATAAATAAATGCTATAAATATAAGTGTAGTGAAGTGTAAATCCAGACTGTTAGTGAAGCAGCTCATTCAGTCTCCACAAGACTCTCCTGTAAGGACTCACTGAAGAGGATCACTTTACACCTCATAGAGACGAGGACATTCAGCTGACGTAGTCACAGGTGTGGCATGAAGCTACATTTCAGTAGTTCTTGAGTAGTTCTTGAAATTAATGATGATGTAATGGGTGTGAAGATTTGATGGTTATGTGTTTCTAAGAAGATGCTCGTGCATTTTCTTATCTATTTACAGATTATATCAGTTTCTACATATTGACTTGTTTTTTCTTATTTCAGGTTGAATATTTTGACTCCATTTTGACTGTTTGTTTCTTTTATGGATCCAGAAAGGAGCCAGTCAAGGTTTTGTTTTCACACACTTTGCATTGAATGGAGAAGCAGGATCCAGATACCTGTGATCACTTGAAAGGAAAAGAAACTGTGCCTTTGAGGTTTGGGACTTTTAATCTTTCAGAGTCACTTCAACTCTACAATTCACTTAGCAGACGCTATTATCCAAAGTGCAACACAAGCGAGGATCTAGAGAGGAGGAAACAAAGTCAGTAAGTGCAAATGAACAGCTTTCAGTCTGATCTGACACACAGATGCTGACAGGAAAGCACAACTTCAACAGCTGTTCTTTAGAGTTCTAATCAGCATCAAAACCATCCTAAATATCGTGATCATCATTACCAAACAACACCATCTTCATCTTCATCATCATCATGAAGGTCATTGGTGTTCATAAAGAGCTGGGTCTTTAGCTTTTTCTTAAAGGTGCAAAGGGACTCTGCGATCCAATGAAGTTTGGAATATTTTCCACCACCGGGGGGCGACAGAGGAGAAGAGTGTAGTTAGAAACTTAAGAACCCGTCCGGTTCAGTTCGGTATGGTACACATGTATTGGTGTTTCTACTGTCATGAATACTTTTTTGGCAGCTTCTGTTGGGGTGCCAAGCGTACTGAACCGACCTAAAGGTTGGAGCTAGAAACACTGCAGTCTGTTGATTGGTCGAAAGAAGAATCTTCACTTGACAGCGGTAATAAAGGACAAACACAAAACGCACCACGTTTGGAGAGAGTCATTAAAAGGCTGTTTTCTGTTTTTATGCGACTATATGTCAGCGTAGCTCCGCCCCATGGACGACCTGGGAGATGCAATCATTCATTTTTATTTACTGTGTCACATTCTTCTTCTTCTTTATTGAATGTCTTGGCTGTCTGTCGTGCCGCTGTTGTTTTATGATGTACGGTTGGCTGTTGAAACGCAAGCAAGATCAGGGTTTACCGTGTCAGACTGAACTGAACCAAACCAGACCGCTTGGTGGAAACGGGGCTTTAAGGCCCAGGTTCAGTTGGACATTTGTGAACACCTTATAGAGGCAAATAAAAACACATAAAGTGCGGACTGGCTCCTGTATAGTGTTTGCTTCCTCTCTTATTCAAGTACTGCTATGTGTTGCTTTTATCCGTCCCTAAACATTGGCTGTTATTGTGTAAGTTAAAAAGTTGTTTTAGGTAAAAGAGTCTGCAGGACAGTAAACTAAACTGAGCGCACATTCGTGAGTGTGTGTCCTCAGTGAAGTGTGTCAGTCTCTGCAGAAGCTTCCTGCTGCAGCAGTCAGTCTGGTTTCTGTTCAGGCTGACTGAGGGAGGTTTTTGTACGACGCTTTTTCACTGTGTGAACACAAACTCACTGTTGATGATATGAAACTCTGACAGTAGTAAACTGCTGCGTCTTCAGTCTGGACTCCACTGATGGTCAGAGTGAAGTCAGAGTTTGATCCACTGCCTGTAAAACGATCTGAAATCCCTGATTCTCGAGTGCTACCATCGTAAATCAGCAGTTTAGGAGTTCCTCCATCTTTCTGTTGGTACCAGGCTAATTCGGGTTCGTCGAGAGTAGTCTCTACATCCTCACTGGTCCTACATGATAAGGTGACGGAGGCTCCCAGAGCAGATCTCACTGCTGCAGACTGAGTCACTGTGACCTGTCCTCTGGACTCTGAGGAGACAGAGACAAACACATGAAGCAGCATCAGGGTTGTGTGGGCTTCATTTCAGAGAGACGGATGTTCATAGAGGAGAGGAGTTTGATTGTCTGGACTTTACCTGTGAAGCAGCAGCAGAGGAGGAGAGTCCAGATGAGGACGCAGATCAAAGTCATGTTTTTGGATGAGGAGGAGGAGGAGGATTTCTGTGTCTCCTGTTGTGATGAAGGACAGCTGTTAGTCCTGCAGTGTTCAACTCTCAGGACTTTAAACTCTCCCCGAGCACTGGAGCATGCTGCTGCTCATGCAAAGTGGCTCTTTATGGAAATGCTCTAACTAACTGGGGACTTGGATTATACCAATTATAAAGTTAATTATTTTAACTTTCAATAAGACATGTTTTTAAAACCGTGTTCATGCTTCTGGAGAAATCCCCGGAATAAAATGTCTTCATTTTGAATATTAATGGAAATGTATTCTTTATACTTTTCAGTTCATTTGAAGGTTTTGCAGATAAGAGCATTTTTTTTACTTTCTTTAGTGAGAGGTTTTTGTACGGCGACTCAGTGAGTTTGCATCACTGTGGTACACATTTGGTGGAGGAACCAGACTGGATGTTGGAGGTAAGTTTCTGTCCGATTCTAAACAGTGTAATGTAATCATGAATTATTTGTTTTTTTTGTTTACAATGCAAAAAACATTTATACATTTTTACATTATATTTTTTTCCTGTTTGTGTTTGTCCTCCTGTACCATCTCAGGACAGATCGTTTACATTCAGTTCAGCAGCTTCAGATTCATAAAAAATAATTCTCTGGTTTCAGATATCTATTCCACATCAACGATAACTCTTAAAGGCCCTTATTTCATTTTGTCATTTTGAATAAATTGCTCAAAGGGAAGTTGTAAGAATTTTGAATGAAAATGTTCAAAAGTCTCTGATCTCTTTCTGCAGATTATGTCACTTAAGATTTTTTAGCCTTTTATGATTTAAAACATGTTTTATTGATAGATTTGGTTCATGTTTCCACTCAAGAGTTAGAAAAATAGGTATTTCAAAGGTTTGAGTGATTTGATGATTTTTCAGCGTTTTTATTTTAAGTCCAGTGTATTCTGGTCTCTCCGTACGATGATCGTCTCTGTGTTGATTTGCATGACAGATTTCTGAGAGGGAAGTGAAACAACGTGTGAGTGACTGCTGAAGCAGAAAAAAACATCTGACAGAAACTCCTTAAAGGAGAAACTCTGCTTTCAACTGCAAAGGTGTCCAGGAGTGATGTGTTTGACTGACAGCTGTGTGGTTCCTGTCCTCTGTTCTGATTGGTGTCTCCTAGGTGAAGCCCGTCCCACCTTGATGGTTCTGCCCCCTTCCAATGAGGAGCTGCAGCAGGGGAATGCCACGCTCGTGTGCCTGGCCAACAAGGGCTTCCCCTCAGACTGGAGTCTGGCCTGGAAGGTGGACGGCATCAGCGGCGGCAGCTGGGAGGAGAGCAGGGGCCCTGCGGTGATGGAGCAGGACGCTCGTTACAGCTGGAGCAGCACCCTGAGGCTCTCTGCAGGCCAGTGGACGAAGGTGGGCTCTGTGACCTGTGAGGCCACCCAGGGCTCCCAGACGCTGGTCTCAGAGACACTGAGGAGGGACCAGTGTTCCCAGGACTGAGCTGTATCACCTGGACTCTGCTGCTGGTTTCCCCCTGCTGTTGTTTCACTTCTGAAACTGCCCTCAGTTTACACGCTAAATGCCTTCTTTCCCTCTCTTTGATTTTATGTTTCAACGTTAATTTTTCTTACCTTTTGTATTGACAGTTTTTCTTAAAATGAGCAAAAGAATAAAAATGGAATCCAACAGAGTTCTTTGTGCATATCTTTCATTTAACTTAAGTCTTCATACAGGTTAACAATTTTTGAACCGGCTTTGGTAAGTTTACCTAAAACATAAAAAAATATATAGCAATGGAAAACTTCCAAATAATCTTATATCATTAAAATCTGCTGTTGAAGAAGTTGAAATGTCTCAATCTGATGACTGATGTGTTGAATTGTTAAATCTCTGAAAATAATGAAGGTAGGTAAGAAATGTGTTGGAAGTAAAACGGATGGCATCATCTGCATAACGTGATAAAACATTGCTTCTGGCATGTTGTTCAAAGCCTGCTCTGTGGTTTAAATATATTAATTAATCATGAAAACACACATCGTGGAAAGTTTATGCAAAGGTCTCTTTGTGTTTTGCATATTCTGTTTGGATGTCAAAATAAAAAGATTTGAGACGTATCTCAAGAAAAGACATATTAATCAATGAAAACAATTCAAATGTGTGTTAATTTTAGACAGTAGTAAACTCCTTCTTTAACCTGTGAGTGCTTTGGGTGCTCTGCTTTTCTTGGATATAATTAGGAGGACTCTAATGGAAACAAGTTGGTAACCTCTGAGGTAGTCGACGACTTTAAAAAGACTTAAAGAGTCTTATACAACACATATAGTTCTGTCAGTGCAGACTAACCTTTCCTCTGCAGGGCACCAGTTTAGCTCAGTTGATAGAGCAGGCGCTGTATTTTATATATTTGTGGCGACAGTAGCTCAGTCTGTAGGGACCTTGTTTGGGAACCTGAGGGTCGCTGGTTTAAGTCCCTGTACACATCAAAGTATGGAAGCTGCCAGGTCCCAGGTCACTCTCCGAGTGCTATAGAGGTGTCCTAGAGCAAGACACTGAACCCCCAACAGCTCTGTTGTGCTCCCTGTGTCGCAGTGTGTAGCAGCCCCACTGACATCTCTCCAGGTCCTGATTGTGTTAGTGTGCACAGACATCATGTCCACAAGTTTTCAGATGTTACTGCTCTCGTGCACCTACTTACCCAAGGCAATAATCTGACCAACAAAAACAGAGATTGAATCTTTAGTCAGATAGTGTGATGCATATTGAATGTTGGAAAGTATTATTGATTTTAGAAGAAAGAAAGACGATGTTTCCCCTCATAGCAGATCCAAACTGTCCAGTTTCACAAATATGTCGATGTCTTCATGGACAGTACATTAAATTAGAAAAAATAACCCTGATGTGGCTTTAAAGAAGGCTCAGTCAAGACTCTTAAGGAAGCTTAGATCCTCTGATTTTAGCAAGAACCTTCTGTATGTTTTGTATCTTGGCTAGTGTCCTCTTTTATGATGTTCTGTGCTGGGGGGGGCAGCTTCTGTTTGGATGATACAAATAGGATCAATAAGCTGATCAAAGAGGCTGGCTCTGTGATCGGCTTTACCCCACACTCTCTTGAAGTCACCTTTGAGAAGAGAACGAGGACAACACTAAAAATCTCTTCATAAATATCTGACATATGCCAAGGGTTCATTTTGAAATGCTAAGTACTGTATAGTGGAAATATATGATATTGAATAACTGATTGTGTAGTTTTTGTATTACAGGGAAGAGGTGATGGAAACCAGTCAGTGTAGTGTTTGAGTGTGTGTCCTCAGTGAAGTGTGTCAGTCTCTGCAGAAGCTTCCTGCTGCAGCAGTCAGTCTGGTTTCTGTTCAGGCTGACTGAGGGAGGTTTTTGTACGACGCTTTTTCACTGTGTGAACACATCCTGACTGTTGATGCTATGATAACTCTGACAGTAGTAAACCGCTGCGTCTTCAGTCTGGACTCCACTGATGGTCAGAGTGAAGTCAGAGTTTGATCCACTGCCTGTAAAACGATCTGAAGTCCCTGATTCTTGAGTGCTACCATCGTAAATCAGCAGTTTAGGAGTTCCTCCATCTTTCTGTTGGTACCAGGCTAACAAGGGTTCGCCAAGAGGAGTAGTCTCTACATCCTCACTGGTTGTACATGATAAGGTGACGGAGGCTCCCAGAGCAGATATCACTGCTGCAGACTGAGTCACTGAGACCTGTCCTCTGGACTCTGAGGAGACAGAGACAAACACATGAAGCAGCATCAGGGTTGTGTGGGCTTCATTTCAGAGAGACGGATGTTCATAGAGGAGAGGAGTTTGATTGTCTGGACTTTACCTGTGAAGCAGCAGCAGAGGAGGAGAGTCCAGATGAGGACGCAGATCAAAGTCATGTTTTTGGATGAGGAGGATTTCTGTGGCTCCTGTTGTGATGAAGGACAGCTGTCAGTCCTGCAGTGTTCAACTCTCAGGACTTTAAACTCTCCCCGAGCACTGGAGCATGCTGCTGCTCATGCAAAGTGGCTCTTTATGGAAATGCTCTGACTAACTGGGGACTTGGATTATACCAATTATAAAGTTAATTATTTTAACTTTCAATAAGACATGTTTTTAAAACCGCTTTCATGCTTCTGGAGAAATCCCCGGAATAAAATGTCTTAATTTTGAATATTAATGGAAATGTATTCTTTATACTTTTCAGTTCATTTGAAGGTTTTGCAGACAAGAGCATTTTTTTTTCTTTCTTTAGTGAGAGGTTTTTGTACGGCGACTCAATGAGTTTGCATCACTGTGGTACACATTTGGTGGAGGAACCAGACTGGATGTTGGAAGTAAGTCAAATATTAACCCTTTGTATGTCAAGAGATTATTTTATTTTGAAATGGAAGACTGAAAATGACTGACCCAAACATTTGTGTGCATGTTTTTCTCTGTATTTAGACTAAAAACGAATTTTTAATGAAACACAAAATCGTATCAAAATAAATGTCAAATCTGAAGCCAGAGTCATCATTTGTTCCAGAGTAAATGAGTGTTATCATTGTAAAGGTGAAGTTGCATCTTGAGGGCTGGTAGTTTGAGTACGATGTGTTGAAGTCAGAGAGCCGTGTCTCTGTGCAGTGAGAGGTTTTTGTACGGCGACTCAGTGACTTTGTATCACTGTGGTGGACTTTGGTGGAGGAACCAGACTGGATGTCGGAGGTAAGTTTCTGTTGATTTCTAACAGGTAATGTAATCGTGATTTTTTTTTTCATTTACAATATAAAGAAACATTTATAAATTTTTACATTATATTTTTTTCCTGTTTGTGTTTGTCTTCCTGTACCATCTCAGGACAGATCGTTTACATTCAGTTCAGCAGCTTCAGATTCATAAAAAATAATTCTCTGGTTTCAGATATCTATTCCACATCAACGATAATTCTTAAAGGCCTTTATTTCATTTTGTCATTTTGAATAAATTGCTCAAAGGGAAGTTGTAAGAATTTTGAATGAAAATGTTAAAATCTCTGATCTCTTTCTGCAGATTATGTCACTTAAGATTTTTTAGCCTTTTATGATTTAAAACATGTTTTATTGATAGATTTGGTTCATGTTTCCACTCAACAGTTAGAAAAATAGGTATTTCAAAGGTTTGAGTGATTTGATGATTTTTCAGCGTTTTTATTTTAAGTCCAGTGTATTCTGGTCTCTCGTACGATGATCGTCTCTGTGTTGATTTGCATGACAGATTTCTGAGAGGGAAGTGAAACAATGTGTGAGTGACTGCTGAAGCAGAAAAAAACATCTGACAGAAACTCCTTAAAGGAGAAACTCTGCTTTCAACTGCAAAGGTGTCCAGGAGTGATGTGTTTGACTGACAGCTGTGTGGTTCCTGTCCTCTGTTCTGATTGGTGTCTCCTAGGTGAAGCCCGTCCACCTTGATGGTTCTGCCCCCTTCCAATGAGGAGCTGCAGCAGGGGAAGGCCACGCTCGTGTGCCTGGCCAACAAGGCTTCCCCTCAGACTGGAGTCTGGCCTGGAAGGTGGACGGCATCAGCGGCGGCAGCTGGGAGGAGAGCAGGGGCCCTGCGGTGATGGAGCAGGACGCTCGTTACAGCTGGAGCAGCACCCTGAGGCTCTCTGCAGGCCAGTGGACGAAGGTGGGCTCTGTGACCTGTGAGGCCACCCAGGGCTCCCAGACGCTGGTCTCAGAGACACTGAGGAGGGACCAGTGTTCCAGGACTGAGCTGTATCACCTGGACTCTGCTGCTGGTTTCCCCCTGCTGTTGTTTCACTTCTGAAACTGCCTCAGTTTACACGCTAAATGCCTTCTTTCCCTCTCTATGATTTTATGTTTCAACGTTAATTTTTCTCGCCTTTTTTATTGACAGTTTTTCTTAAATTGAGCAAAAGAATAAAAATGGAATCAAACAGTGTTTGTTGTGCATATCTTTCATTTCTTAACAGGTTAACAATTTTTGAACGGACTTTGGTAAGTTCACCTAAAGAGTAAAAAAAAAAAATAGCAATGGAAGACTTCCAAATAATCTTATATCATCAAAATCTGCTGTTGAAGATGGTGAAATGTCTCAATCTGATGACTGATGTGTTGATTTGTTAAATCTCTGAAAATAATGAAGGTGGGTAAGAAATGTGTTACAAATAAAACGGATGATATCATCAGCATAAAGTGATAAAACATTGCTTCTGGCATTTTGTTCAATGCCTGCTCTTTGGTTGTCAAAATTAGATTTAAATACATAAATTAAAATCATGAGAACACACATTGTGGAAAGTTTATTCAAAGGCTTTTTGGTAGGGTTAGGGTTAAGACTGTTCTGCATATTCTGTTGGGATGTCAAAAGAAAACGATTTAATACTTAACTCATAAAAAGAGATATTTATCAATTAAAACAATTCAAATGTTTTTTAATTATTGACAGTAGTAAACTCCTTCTTTTACCTGTGGGTGCTTTGGGTGCTCTGCTTTTCTTGGATATAATTAGTAGGACTCTTATGGAAACAAGTTTGGAACCAGACTAACCTTTCCTCTGCAGGGCACCAGTTTAGCTCAGTTGATAGAGCAGGCGCTGTATTTTATATATTTGTGGCGGCAGTAGCTCAGTCTGTAGGGACCTTGTTTGGGAACCTGAGGGTCGCTGGTTTAAGTCCCTGTACACATCAAAGTATGGAAGCTGCCAGGTCCCAGGTCACTCTCCGAGTGCTATAGAGGTGTCCTAGAGCAAGACACTGAACCCCAACAGCTCTGTTGTGCTCCCTGTGTCAGTGTGTAGCAGCCCCACTGACATCTCCAGGTCCTGATTGTGTTAGTGTGCACAGACATCATGTCCACAAGTTTTCAGATGTTACTGCTCTCGTGCACCTACTTACCCAAGGCAACAATCTGACCAACAAAAACAGAGATTGAATTTTAGTCAGCTGGTGTGATGCATATTGAATGTTGGAAATTATTGATTTTAG